TCATTCATTTTCAGATAGTTTAATATGATTTAATTATTTTTTTAAACAATTTTATATTTATTTATTTGTATGTACACTGAGAAAAAAATTGCGTTAAATGAACAAATATTTTATTTAATTAATAAAAGGAACTTAGAGTATTTTTAAAATAATTATAATATACATAATGATATTGTTATTAAAAACACATTATGTCATTTGTTCCAATGTTACGAAAAGTTTGAAAACAAATGACATTTTATTCATTTGATTAAATAAAATAATTTTAATAAAATATTCATAATTTCGAAGAAATGTTTCATTGTGATTATTTGAAATTTCGATATTGATAATCGAATGAAATATTTTTACTTGTAAGAACTTCTCTTTTTTTATAAACATCAAATTCCAGAGATATATTTATAAAAAATTACCATATAATATTAATCATATAAAATGGAACCGATTTTTTAAAAACCACTTTTTCCTAAAGGTTCAGAAACTGTTTTTCAACTGAAAACTATCTCTCAATAATGATAATTTATATTAAAAAGACAAATTATCTAAATCAAATAATTTATGACTATTTACCTTATTTGTAAAAATAGGCTAACGATTAAATATCAAGTGAAGAGAGAAAAAAAAGCATATAATTAATATTGATTGCACTTGTCCTAAACCTCCTATCAATCTCGACCATATTTTTTTCATTTTTCCATGTCATGTCCTTGTGCATGGCACAGAATTCGATCGTGACTCAAGCAGTATCAAGTAAAAGTTCGCGAGCCAGTATTGAACTTGCTTTCACACAAGTACTAGCATTTAATAATAAATGACTTGTCTTAAACGATCGTAAAAAGAGTAATAAGACTGTTATAACTACGGCAAATATATAAAAATGTTTGTGTATCCCACGCAGTTGTAACAGTGTACCGATCTAATAGCAATCTGGTTCAATATAAACGTATTTTACTTTATGAAAATTATAAGTCATGCATGAGTACACATCTGACACGGTCATTGCTCAATTCACCATCGCGTCCTCTTATCATGTCCTTACAGATTTAATACTACTATTATTTATTTAATATTTTTGAATTAAAAAAATATTATTCATATTTTCCTTTAAGCAGTGCCATCTTTAAGAAATCACGCAAGAAAATTGAATGGGAAAGTTTTCACTTCTTTGTTCACTTTCATTCCATTCATTTTTTTTTTATCAAGACATTTCATTTTTATTTGAGAAATTGAATTAATGTTGGAGAAATATTTAAATAAATTATCACTTAAAATTCCAATAATGATTTTTAAAGTCAACTAAAAAATTATCATTTATGCTATTTATTTCTATAAAATAACGAGTTTTTATTTAGTTAAGTTAGAAAAATAATTCTAATTATTATAGTAGATATACATACAATTTACCTTAGCCTCATTTATTAAAGATACTGATAAGACAGTAGCCACAATAATTTTATGAAACATGTGTGTAATAATTAGCATAATTCTTTGTTGCATTATCATACAATATAAACTCCTAAAACAATGTCTGATGTAGATATATTTAATTACAAGGAAGCTAAAATAAAAAAAAGGAAAGAAAGGAAGAAAAAAAGAATATTTTAAAGTAACTATTTCTCAGAACAAATTGTTCCTATCTATTAAAACTCATGACTAACTGTCAGACATAGAAATACAATTACAAAAACCGTTCATGTAAATATAATAAAATATTTGTAATATTTTTTTTTATAAAATAATAGAGATTACAATTTAATAATAATAATAACAAGAATAAATTTTAAAATTACCGTAATAAATACCAAAAAACAATAATTAAAGAATACAAAATTAAATCGACCAATCAGATAAGCGTAACTATTTTATTCGTGCGCTGATTGGTTAGTTTTATTTTTGAATTTTCGAAATAAATAAAAATAAAAATTAAATAATTTTTTACGTTGTTGACTTGAGACAGCGCGCAGTGTATTTCTAGTCATATTTTAAGACACGTTCAAGTGTGGAGATTAAAAGTTAAATGAGTAAAAGATAAGTGATTATATTCACTTTGTCAGAGTAACCACACCTAACAGGTGTCCATTAATAAAATGAAAAGATCCGGTAGACACTAAAACATTTACTAATGATGATTTTTACTCCTTCACTTATTGGAAATCGTATAGAATGCATACAAGTCACTGCTTCTGAAAGAATTATTGCGATATACCCGCTCACGTCTCTCGCACACGACCGCATTTTATCATCCAACCGTCTCTCCTTTATAAGTGCATTACTTTGCTTCTTCTTTAGATACTTTGCTTTTTTATTCATTGACTTTTTCTCTCTTCGGTAACGCTTTTAATGGAATTCCATGACGGTCAAACAAGACTAGTATGACACAATTTACTAATGACTCTAACTCTTTCTGTAAGTTAAAACATCTTGGACGAAAGATTTTTTAAAGTTGGTCTGTTAAAAAATTAGTTTTACTTCATTTCTATATCTCCAATAACTTCATTGCTATTGTCAACACATTCTTTTTACTCATTTCCACTCAATTAATTCTCCAATGTTTTCGTTATCTCATCAATTTATTGGATGAATCGATTCATATATCAACTTTTTATCTTATTTGTGAGCCTTTTTATTCTGAAATTAAATGTGTTTAATCTCAATTTTTGTAAACAAATCACAGAGATACCGACTTTGTAGTTAACTCTTAGATTTGTGGTTTTATGTAATTTGTTTATGACATTTAACTTTAGTTTGCAGTGTTGTTAGTAAATGTATAAACGTCATAATTTATTTGTGCTCTAAGTATACTTGTAAATGAGAAATTTATTCAATTATTAGATTGTAACCTTTTCAACTTCCCAGCAAAAAGAAAAGTTGATTATTTTATAATTTCATAATTAATGTTTTTAAAATAGGAAAAATATTTTGTTTTAATCAAATGTATTTATTGAACAATATAGTGTGATATATATACCAATTTTATGTAAACATATTTAATATTGTAAATGCCATAAATAATCTACAGAAATTTACATAACTTCAAGTGTTACATTTAGACGTTACATTACATTTTAACACCTTTGGATTTTTAATACAATACACTGCAAACTAAAGTTCTATTAATATTCTAAGGTAAAATATGTAGTAATTAGCCTCTAAAGGTACTGCCTCACTTTATTAAAGTATAAAAAAATCCTAAGTATTATTATGAGATTTATTTTGTCTATCTGGATTACTTTTATGGATTGGTCTTTATTAGAAAGTAAAAGTGAGATTGAATAATAATAATTTATTTATAAAAAAATAATGAGTAATGTGTAAATAATTGTTATTAACTGACTTATGAAGTATGTTATTATATTTTGAAGATAACAAAACAATTATTTTTGACAACTAGATGAGTTAAAAAACATCAGTGATAGTTTTGTAATGATGGAATGAAAGAAGAATATTTTTTGTATTTATTAAATAAAAAATAACGTGGATAATAATGATATGTTTTATGCCACATACTGGAGACATTGGTGAATATAAACAAAGAAGAGAGGATTGGTTATTTTTACTATAAAGGAAATATTTAAATAAATTTTTAATTAGTCTTAAAAAAATGTCTGAAAGACACAGATGCACTTTTCAGCACAATCTGTTATCTTTAATTAAAGTATCCATACTTTTGGTGTAATGAAATAAATTCAGTCTATATTTAATTAATGTTCTTTCGCCATAATCCTGAATCTCCAACATTCTTTATAGAAATTAACACACTTAAAATGTGTAACAATTGATAACAAAGTATTTGTAATTTGTTTAAAATAGATTTTATTAAATATACATTAATATCTTGAAAAGATTTTGGAGTAATTGAGATTTTTATCGAAAAGAAATCTTGAAAAAAAACCAAATGACTTTTTAAATGGATTTAATCATTCAATTTAGGAATAATAAATGTAAAAAGTTGAACGTAGAGTTGTAGATTTTGTTCAAAATAAATTCAGACTGTCGCATTTTATTTGAAAAAAAGAATTGTTATCATTTATCTTGGACGTCAATTCTAACATGGGTTTTTCCAATACTTTATTATTATTCATACAAGAACCTTTTCAGATTTTAACATGACCATATTAGCATAATGTTTGACTAGACCTCTGATAGTCTATCATGTCTATGAAAGTCTTTTGAAAAAAGTTGTAATAATCGAAACCTTTGTTTACTATCTTATAAGTTATATCTTATAGCAACGTGGGAATGTGAATGACTATTAGATTGTAATATTATTGATGAAATAAAAACTGCAACAATGTTCACTGATTACTATAATTTAAAAATTATTTCTTGCAAATAGGACAGGATGTTGATATTATTCATTCAATAAATATTACAAAATTTTTCGCATAATTATTTTTTTATTAACATTTTTTATTACAGTTTTCTGTACAATGTATAGTAATCAATTTTTTCCTACTTTTCGGATTTCATAAAGCTGGAGATAAATTAATAAATAACAATTTACTCAGATTTTCATACACATTTATAAGAAAATTTTTTAATCTGTCATTATGTTTTTTTTTTTATCTTAACACAAGTAATCATTCATAACGTTTTAACCTTGTAATCCTTTAAGAACCACGTGCAGAAAGTGCAATCGAACTTTCTAGTATGCGTCGAATGATCTCGTAATTACACCTTTATGTGATTACTACCGTTTATACTCACAAGAAAAGAGATGAAGGGAAAAAATTGAATATGATTATCCATGCTCGCGCAATAGTTATTCCGTTTTCCCTATAATTTATGTGAGCTCTTAATCGTTTATTTTATCAATGAAAAAACCCCAAAGGTGGCTAAGCTCATGAGCAAGGAGAATAAACAGTCTTTAGTCAGACAGATAAATGAAGAAGTGAAATTTTATTATTAAATTATTTATTTATTTTTTCTTTATTCATAATTAATCTTTAAGTTTTAAGACTATTTTATGAATAACGTTTTGTTTTTTTCTCTTTTTGCAGCAACAAAATCAGACAACTCCTCGAGATCACACATTCAGTGCGACACGAGCGATGAGTTCGATGCAAACACAACAACCTGGATCATTACCAGATCTACATGTGGATCCTTACCGGCTGCTGGAAGATGATCTAAAGGATGTATATGATGACATACGTCGGGTAATACACTTTTTTTTTTTATAATAAATTCGCATTAAATATTTTTATTATTATTTTTTATAAATAAATGCATGTTAAGGACATTTTTTTTGCTCTTATTCATCTTAAAAGAAGTCATTAAAGTCCTGTGTTATGCAAAAAATAATTTTAAATCAATCGTCTCAATATTTATTATTAATAAACATTGCGTGATTTTGTTTATTAAAAACAGTGAGATATAATTTTTAATATAATTAATAAAATTAAACAATTTAAAAGATGCTAAAATATTTTTGAATACCACTGCAAATCGTAGTGTTTTATTTCAATGCACTTAAAGTGTTTTAAAATGACTTAACCCATTTGATTGACATCGTAGTCATTTTTTAAACACATTTAAGTACATTAAAAGAGACTACAATGCTAATCAAATGGGTGACGTTATTTTAAAACACTTCAAGTGCATTGGAATAAAACACTTTGCTTTATTTGTTTTCATTGATAATCATGTTGATAATAATAAATAGTGAAATAAAAATAATTAGACTTGTATAGATGTTTTTTTATAACATTCATCTTTTTATAGAGAGATTTTTATGTATTAATTAAAGAATAATTTATCAAAAAAAAAAAAAAACGTAATTTCACTAAGTGCAATTGTAACGCAATTTTCATATTGTTGATTCTCATTCCTAGCGAAAGTTGTTAGTGAGAATGTAGACCTACTGAGAATCATACAACGCGTGCAGATACGCTTGAACTTTTACTCACGGTCGTCTGATCGTTCACGCGTGAAGAATCGTTAGCGTAGAAAGCACCTGCTGTCTTGATGCCGAGACACGCAAAGAGTCACTGTCCGCCGGCCCTGACCTCCTCATTCACCACTCGACAATTCTTCTGTCGATCATTCTTCATTTTTTTCTCTCCCAATTATTTATCTATTAGTCATTATGTGATCATTATTCGTAATTATTATGACACACTGTTGTGAACATTCTTCGTTAGGAAAAAACGAATTCTTTGGAACCAAAATGGAGTTAATAATGTGAATGAACATATTTCTAATTATTATATGGATAAGAAGATTGGTCGAATGCCAGTGAAGACTTTCGCGACATAACGCACGCGGAATTCTAAGTGGCAAGGCTGGTTTTTTTTTTTCATGTGGAAGAGTATTACGACATTAAATATTTGACGAACAAAAAATGCTCTCGAAAATTGAAACAGTGAAAACTCAACGTTCGAAAGTAAAATTTGAGTGTTTTTAAAAATCAGCGAGCATATCGTTGTAAATTTAATGAGAAGAATTTAATTATTATAAATAGTAACGAATGAAATAGAATAAAGTGTAGGCAATTTCACTTCTTTATTTCGTAAAGTTTTTATTGATTAAAATGGAGAAAAATCTCTAAGAGCTTCTAGAAAATTTTATACTCGTACGGTTTTTTTTATTCACTCCATTCGATAAATAGTGTAGTAACTAAACATATTAGATTTACTTACATACAAAATAAATTCATTCCTTAATTGTCTTTAATTATAATTAATATTAATTTCAATTTTAATATTTTAAAAATAATTCACGCATTTAAATATAGAGGAAATCAAAACAATATGGGGTACCTAGAGTAAAATGGAGTATTCCAAAAGATAATCATTTATTCTAATTGAAATAATTTTTTTATTAATCTTCTTTTCTTTTTAATTCAATTATATTTGTTAATTAAATTTAATGAAAAACTTTTATTAAAAGAATTCAAGTAAACATAATTTTATAGTGTCTTTATATTGCCCCGTCTTCTCTAAATATAAAAAAATTTACATTGTGTATTAATTTTTATTGCCATGTATTAATTTTCCATTCAATGTTAAAAACATTAAAGTTCTACTTAACATATAATAGTTAAGTTTTTTACAACCATGAAGGACACAGTAATTAAATGCTAAATAGAATATCAATTTGTCATCGTAAATTCAACTGTTTTAATTCCTTTCAGTGCATAAACAAATAATTAACACATATTTTTTCAACGTTGGGGAATGTTGAGCAAGATGGGGCTTTAGAACTTTAGCAACTTAGTGGGGCAAAACAGACCCCATGGAAGTGTTGGAAAAAAGTTTGGATTGATATCAAAACATTGTCATAGTTTTAATGACATTATTTTGTGTATTAAAAAATTGTAAATCTGGAAACTCGTTTTGCCCTGGATTCTTCTATACTTTTTTATCCAAGTAAGATAACGATAGTAAGAACATTGGAAATTAAATATATTAAATAATTTAGTGTTTTCTCATACCTCTGCTGAAAGTTGAAGTTTTCTCCCTGCTTCCATTCCACTTGAAAAAATAAAAAATCATCTGTGCGCATGCGCAGACGGGTGTCGTCTCTATGAAAGAGAAAATGTCACTTTTCTAACCTCAAAACAGACACCAAAATTTTATTTTGGACAATAATTTGATGAAAAATAGTACTTTGGTCATGGAAGCTAAGTAAGATATCCTTCTCTGGATATTTGCCACCCTCACCTTTGGCTTGTAATGAACTTGTACACACAGTTCAGAATATCATTATTTCCTCCCTTGTTTAATAATCTACTATTTACCTGATCTGGAATACATATTGAAGTCTTTTTAATAATTAATTATTCCTAATATCCTTGTCAAGACCAGTTTGTCTATATTTACAAAATAAAATGATAAATATCTAAGAAAATCACTTTCACATTTGACTGTTTGAAGTGGCGAAAAACAAAAGGCATAGCAGCAAATAAATTATTGGAGTGATATAAGGAATAATGAGAGCACACGTGAGCACCTATGCATTGCTCCATAGCGTATTGAGAGCAAGTCTTTTTGCGCAACTTTTGATTTAAAAGGGTGTCGTTGAGCATCCGGCATTACTTCTTACGATTTAAATGCAACTTATATGACTTCGTGGAGCCTGAATAACTTCTGACAAGTCATTTCATAGAGAGCCAGACTGGAAAATCTCGTCCGGCTATTTTTTATTCTCAAAAACTCAGTCAAGGTTGTGTTGCATGCACAGTGTTCTGGAATAATCTTTTTTCATTGTTATAAATTTTTTTTTCTTTCTGTTTTAAAGGAGCTCATCATGAACACGACAGTAGACGAATTGAAAACGATTGCGACGTACTACTTTGATGGGCAGGGAAAGGCGTTGCGGCCAATGGTTGCGATCCTCATGGCGCGAGCCATCAATTATCACAAGGAAAGAAAGTAAGTTTACGCGACTTTTGCTTCAAATACTTATTTTTTATTATGACTGCACTAAATTTCTGTCCGTATCGAACGTAACAATCTATTACTTTTATTTATTCGCAATACTTGTCGAATGTTCTAGAAAACGTTAAAGAAATAATTACTATTTATTTTATGTAATAAAAAAATATTCATTAGACAGGAAATGTATTCTAAACATTATTGTTCAACATCGGAATTCCCAATATTTATATTTATTGTTAACTTTATTCAATATAATCCACATTTTTATCTATAAAATTTGTTAATATTTTTTATTATGTAGATTTAATTTATTATTTACTTTATTATTAATTATTAATTTATTTTTTTCTCAGTGTATTACTTAATTATTTAATTAATGCATCAAATAATTTAGTAATTAAACAATGAATAATTTTTTTCAAATTTTAAAACAAAAAAAATATTTAAATTCATTTATAATGTTATTGAATCAACAAAATATTTTTAAAAAAATCTTATTATATTTATTAAGTAAAATATTTTATTTATTAAATTAAATTATGATTTCAGTGAAGTCTAATTGATTTTATTTATTTTGCGATTACCTACGAGTGAATTAAAAAAAGATGCACTAAAGATGAAAAAAATGGCATTACTTTTGATTCAATTAATTGGAGTAATTTTATTTTTTTTTTTGTAGTGGTCTCTTGCCATCGCAACGACAAGTAGCGATGATAGCTGAGATGATTCACAGTGCATCATTAATTCACGACGATGTAATAGATCAATCTGATTTTCGTCGGGGAAAACCATCAGTCAATGTTCTCTGGAGTCAAAAGAAGGTAAATCTTTTCACTTTATGACTTTAATTATTAACTCGATTTCTATATAAAATAAATAAACTATCACTTGCATCCAAGAATGTCAATTCTGTAACTTCCGTTTCCGTAATAAAATAAGTATTTACGGTCAATACGGAAGGAGATCAAGCGAGCACGCGTCTCACGTATATAATTGAAACAAGTCGGCATGACAATCCATATGTAGATATTTAAACTTAACCTGTTGAATGGGTATGGCGATGAAAACTCTAACTCTCTCACCTGATCGGGAATGTGACAAGAAGGAGGCTAATGGGATTCACACACTAGACGGTTCCGAACGCACTTTCTTGACCAGAAGATATGGAAATGCAGAGTCAGACATGAAAAAATTTCAATAATGACTTCCATAAAAAATAATGATAGTTTTTAAATTCAATAACAGTAATTCATTTTTGAAATACCGTTCTTTATGGCTTTGATATTTGTTATTGATTTAATTTTTCTGTAATAACGATGAGGTTTCAATTCTTTAAACGTCTTATTGCAATTATTCGTCTTTAGAATAACAAAATTTTCATTCATTTCTTCATTCATTCAAATCCACCTGTCACTTAATCAGCACGCTAAATACATTCTACCCAAGGACTATCATTAACATTTCAAGGATAGAATCCGGAAGCATAGATCATTTTTTCGGGTTATTAACACTTGATTTATGTCAACCGACAATTTTGAAAAATAACTCAGATTTATTTAATTGATTAAATATTTAAATATTTAAATATGTTTAAAATAAATAAAATAACAGTAAGTCATTGAACTTATTATAAATGATGAGTTTTAGTTCATAAAAAATTACGAGAACAAATTTACTGAATCAGTTATGAGTAGAATAAAAAATAAATATCTGTCGTAAACAGATTTTCTACTTTCCCAATATGAGCATAATTCACCTTGGGAACATAACGAGGATGAACTTGCATCATCTCCGTTTCACGTCATGCTTGTGAGAGAGTTTCGGGCGGGGCAATTAAAGCCCTGAAGCGGCCACGTTTTTCAGCTGTCAAAAATGAAATTTAAAGGGAAAGTGTAACAATTTTTTAAATTGATTAGAAAGTTAATAATTATTTGCATTATTACTGATAATTGTTGTCAGGAAAATTGTGCAATTACAAGGCAATAAAAGTGACCGAAACAATAAATTTTCAAGTAAAATATCACTTGAATATTCGAGAAATTGGTGGAAAAAATGTCAAGAGTAATATAGGATCTAATAGATTATGCAATTGAAGTCATTAACAGGACGCTAAATGGGTAGTCTTGCTCAAGTATATAATACTTAACGGCTATTAGAAGATGTAATACTGTCGACATCAATATTGCCCGAAAAAAAACAACCCTGTTTTTTTTTCTTAATCGATGGATTGAACAAAAAAAAATTCAATTAAAGTGATGGGAACAAAATTAATCCTATAAATCTTGTATGAGAATTTTTGCCAGAATGAATCGGAAATTTTTGGCAATAAAACTAAATATATTACAACAGCAGTATTTGAATTGGTAAATAAAAACGGTACTGAAATCAAAAATATTTCATTTAAATACTCGTTTGACAACTAGCATGACACGTTTTTCTGTAATCCGCAAAAATTTCGCAAAATTATATAAATGAAAAAGAAGATACTACGAAGAGACGTCAATATATATTATTTTCTATTTTATTTCCAAGCAACGAAATCGGCTTTCTGGAATTTATGATAATTAACATTAATATAAGTTGAAAAGAATGATTTTCTAATGATGAAAAATATGTTTTAAAGGACTATTGCGAATATAGTCGATGAAATTGTGGTAAGACTTTTTATTTATGGCTCATTGTCTGTAATGTTTTTGTATGCAAACGATAAAGTTAAGAAAAATGATGAGTGAAAGATACTAGTGAAGCTTATTTACCAAGTACTCAATACTTTTAACAAAGACAAAAGACCAAACATCCATCAGGAATAATTTTTTAATAATACTCTTTAGTCAATAGTAAATTAAAATACTTCAGCACTTGGATATTTAATAGTAGAGAAAACATTCAGACTTTCCTTTCATTTGAAAATTAGCCGTGGGGTTATGATTTCTAGGTGACAACGTTGAAATAAAGATGTTTTATACAGTTTTAATAATAAATAATTTTATAGAAAAAATCTTTTTTATCAATAAATCATTCATTGGTTTACTTATTAAAATTTCCATATTCTTATGTCAGAGATAAATTAATTGATTACGGTAAAATATCTTCTTTTGAAGTCGAATATAAACACGTGGATTTAATTTAGTTAAAAATAGTACAGAAATATATATTTGGTGAAAGGAAACTATAAAATTGGAGTTAAAAGACAGTTCTAGAATGAACTGTTTATTTAATGGTCACTGGACACCGCAATGTCGTGGGTTAATTTTCTGTAATATAAGAAAATTTTATTTATGGTAAACAAGAGATAAATTATTTGTAAAACAGTTGAGAAAAAAATAAAACACATCATCTTGTGACAAAAATTTCATTCAAATTATGATGATGAAAGTTTAAACGTTTAAAAAATTACTTTTTGTTATTTTATTATTTGGTATTGTTATAGGTGACAATGACTGGTGATTTCATTCTTGCTGTGGCCTCAATGATGATAGCTAGATTGAAGAATGACGATGTTACGCTTACATTGAGCCAGGTATTTGTCAAATTTTTTACAGAATTACATCATAAATAAATGCTTTTATTATTGAATAATTACCCATAAAATCACTCTAACGACTGAATATTTGTGGAATAAGAACAACTGAAAAAAAATCAAAAGAGATCAGGTTCCACTCTAAAATCCTTGGATCTTATTTTACTTTTTTCTTAAAAGCACTTAATAAGATTATTCAGCATTCAACAGTTGTATTAATTGTTGTATGGATTCTAATGAAATCAATTATAAAACAATTTTCTCATGAGATTAATGGCTTAACAGGTTATTACGGATTTGGTTCAAGGAGAGTTCATGCAGCTAGGATCCAAGGAAACTGAAAATGAAAGATTCGCTCACTACCTCACTAAAACCTACAGGAAGACAGCGAGTCTTATTGCAAATTCTGCCAAAGCTGTAAGTTATTAATTGATGATTAAATCATCTTTACTCTATTTTAAAATAATATGCTATCAACTATGATCAATAATTATTAGCAGTTTCATTAAGTTATTAGAAATAATGATCTAAGAAAATTGAGATGTTAATCACTTTTTAATTGATTAATTAACACAGAATTTATACATAAAAATGTATAAATTATTAATGATAATTTTATTATTTTTATAACCTCTGTAAACTTTTAAAGATTCATTTAAAATTCAGTGAAATTATGAGATCTTTTTGATCGATTTATTGATTTTCCAATTTTAGGTAAATTTATAAATTCGTTTATAATTCGTCAATTTCTTTTAATTTATGGAATTTGTGTCTGGTGTAAAGAATGTCTGACATAATCAATTATTACGTTATAAATTTAAAAATATTACATTTTTTTTCTTATTAATGGAAGAGAAATTATTGATAAACTATTATTTTCTTGAACTATCTATTTTATTGTTAGGTTGCAATGCTGGGTGGAGCTGATGAAAGATTAGCAGACGTGGCTTTCCAATACGGAAGAAATATTGGTTTAGCTTTCCAGCTAGTTGACGACCTTTTAGACTTTGTATCTTCTTCATCAACCATGGGAAAGCCTACAGCGGCTGACTTAAAGTTAGGTCTTGCTACTGCGCCAGTACTTTTTGCATGTGAACGAGTAAGTACTAATTAGTAATTTCAATTTTTACTTAGATTTATTTTTTTTTTTTACTAACTCTTGTGTTATTTGTACAGTATCCTGAATTAAATCCAATGATTATGCGTCGCTTTCAAGAGCCAGGAGATGTAGCAAAGGCGTTTGAGTTGGTGCATAAATCACAAGGATTAGAACAAACACGATTTCTCGCCAAAAAACATTGCGTGGAAGCAGTACGTTTAGCACAATCTTTAGCAGAAAGTCCTTATCAAAAAGGATTGATAGTAGTGAGTGACTTGGTCATTAACCGTATGAAGTAGTCTTTGCTCAACTTGTCTCGACAAATACAATTGTTAAAAAATTGGGGGAAAAAAAAATATTTAATGTCGAGACTGTTAAATAGTTTAAATAATTAATTGTCATAATTGAGTATGAATGAAACCGGCAAGGATGTATAAATATACATGTAAATTTAGCAAAGAAAATTGTGTAAATGAGAGGAAATGTCTAACAGTAGGTAGTAACAAATGTATGTGTGTTTTTAGAGAATGTAAAAAATTAAAAATCGATTTATAATTAACGATATTATTAACGTGATGGGCCAATATCACGGAGATATTTTTTAGTAAAAAAAATTATTTGCTAAAAAAAAAAAATATGTGAGATAGAGTGAAACATAACTTAATCATATACTTTAAGAAAGAGAGATTGTATGAAAGCGGGAATTTTTTATAGATTCTTTAATGGAAGGTGGCCCGTGTACAATAGGTTTAAGAACCGGTTACCTTCGTGACTATAAACTAGTCGAATCACATGGGAATTTGACTAGGCTATTGAATCACATTAAATAAAATCCAAAGTATCCTTTTTTGAGGATCTTATCCTGATTATGTAATAAATTCAAATAATTAAGGATAAGCTAGAAATCGAATTGCCCAGTTGATTCGTATCAAAATTAGAAAAAATTTATGTTTGCGTAAGAATGTCAAAGTGTTCGTTAAAACATATTTTTATTGATAAATCGATTGCAATAATTATAACAATTGATATTTTAAATTGTTAAATTATCGATAAAACTGAAATTTATAAATGTTACAATTACTTAATATATTAAAACAAATATCAATTGTTAAATTGTTAATATAAATGGAATAATTCGTAAGAGTAGTATGAAATATATATTTACACACACCTACATATGTATAGTTAATAATCTTAGGCACACTTCATCCCGTTCACTTTAATGTTCTTATGATCGATTGCACATAATATCAGCCAAAGAAATTTTCAAACGAAATTTATGTTTCAACATGAAGTTGTAATTATCTAAATTACGTTCATGAATGCTCTGCACTGGTCAATTTACCATTTTTGTAGTAGCAGTATTTAACATTTTTTTTTTTTTTATTCCAGTTACCTTTAGTTTCAATTAGTAGCTTTTCTGAAAACCTTGAAGCGAAACACACAAAAATTTATTAATTAAAAAATGTAGAAAATATTCTGCTCAAAGTATATTTATAGTTTTGTTCATTAATTGAACTATTATATTAATTATTAATTAATTAATATCTTAATAACTTATATTCATGACATAAAACAATGTATATATACCTACATACATAATTTGTGCCGCCTGTTTGTCAATATTTCAATTTATTTATAAAAATGTTATTGCTATAGAAAATTTAAAAAATATCGAATTATGTACTGTAATGCTAAAAACTATTTTGTTCTGTAAAAAAATAACGATATTAATATTATAAAGTAGAGTATAAATTCAATTCATAGTGTCCGGTGCGATGAATTTTTAATTCATTACAAAAATTTTGTAGATAGCAATTCAAACAGATCTGTAAATATCATTATGTTTGATCGTTGAGGACAATCCCATCTAGGTTTGGTGTGGATAAATTCTTTCTTTTATTATGAATTCAATTTATACATTTGTTGTGTTGGGAATAACTTAATTAATGCTGTATGAATATTTTTATAATACAAATACTAAAACTAACAAGCTCTAATTTTTTAATTATTTCATGTTATTTCATTAAATCATTTTTTTTATTAAAAACAACAAATTTTAATGATAAATAATTATTTAATAAATATTTTAATAGACCCAATTACAAATTTTTATTCAAATATGTATATTATGCTCTTTAATAAATTTATTTTTATAAAATTTGTTTATTTTATTATCACCTTTCTTGCAAATCGAATTGAATTTCGCGCTTAAATAGAAAAAATGGCGCCATATTCGATTGAAGTGCTCCCTATCGAAAAAAATTTCAGATATTTAATGAATTCTTGTTAACCTTTTGTAAACTTAAAAATATGTAATTATTCTTATGAAAAGAATAAATTTATTCGATATATCAGTAGTGAACGATCAAGATTTTTATTCAAAATATGTCAATTTATTGGAGTGTAAATAATATTCCGTAATTTCATTAAATTATTTTTTAATAATAAAAATGTAAACGAATCTTTGAAAGAAATATCAACTGGATTAAACTCTATAAAACTAATAACAACTTTAATATTCGAATTAATTTTATTTTCAAAAAATTCACTAAAAAAATTACATCAATCCCTACAAGTTTCTATTTCAAGATATATTATTCTTTCATTCAAAGTAGTGGACAAAGAATCACAATAACTAAATGTATTGAAACTCGAAGAGTATATTTATATTAATCAAGAATATATTTTTAGGTTGTTTGTTGCCAAAACTCGAGACACGTGTGATTTGTGTGAACATACTTGACATCTGACTTTATTGCGCATGCACAATTGCACATCATTTGCCCTAACTCCAAATCATACCAAGAAGATATTTCTTCATTTATATCATCCGGAAGTTTATTTTAAAATCTTTAGCAATTGTTGGTTATAATGAATTAACATACACAAAATAAACTATTCAATTATCTCGTGACAATCCGACACCAATTATGCTTCATTAATTATATTCATGTGTTTAATAATCAACTCGAAGCTCCAAAGCATGAATTAACATGAAGCAACAACAATTATCTAAACCTTCAAAATTTGATTAAACAAATATTTAAAAATGCAGTAGACATCAGCTAATGTCTATTTTTCATTGTATGTATGAATTTGCACATGAACAGTGACTACAGTGTCGTTGGACACAGTCTCTACATAGTATACAGCATTATATAAATGTACAACATTGGCCAGGGATGGAGAGGTAGAAGAGGAGATCATCGACATGCTCGTAAGCGCGGTGTGCGCGTTAGATAAATGTTAACCGCGGTGAACAAATGATCGCGGGTTGACAGTTGCTCCACATTACAAAACACGAGTGTTTTTGTGCTTGTAATATTTTATTTACAACATTATAGACTAATTTGCATGAAAACATTGTGTATAATCAAGTGTTTTTAAGTTATTGGTTATATTCAGCAAAGTTGTGTTGACGAATTGAGTACGTACCTGCATAGTACTATCTGCACTGCAGAAAATTAACTTCTCGTAAGTAGTGACATTCTTCCTATCTTTATTCAGTACGTGATTCATCGCGTGTCACGTTGGTAATCATAGACTGTTATCTTTAATATTTTTTATGTCTTTTCGAAGGTCGTTTAAGAGTTGCTGGACATCTCGTTACTGACACGAAACAAACGCTATAAAACATGTCTACTCATTTACTTACGCATGTTGATCCTTTCAGTGAGACTCCATTAGAAACGGAATCGATTGAAGGTATAGTTAAATTATTATTATTGTTTATTATTAGTATGTAATTATGTTCGATTGTTGGTATATCCATCCAATTAATAAAAAAGACATCGAAGCTATGGTACTTTGATTACGTTTTGTTTCGTTTCAATAAATATGCTTCTAACAAAACTATTCATTAGATATAAACTCAATAAAATATCTATCATTATTATTATGTGTTTAAACATGATTGAGACAAGTCGTATCATTAATTTAAATCAATATAATTTCAAAATAAAAATAAATTTCAAACCATAGTGGGATTATTTTTCAACAATTAATTGGAGTATTAATTTTAACTGATATTTTTGTAGAATTAGCGTATCTGTTATAAAAATAGTTATGACAACATAACTACAATAGTTTTTCATGTGTGAAATTTGTAAGATAATTACAAGAAATGTATTTATTTAATTAGTTTAAAAAAGATTCGTATAGTTTATAGGAATTAAATATTTATTGACTTTAAATTACTCATAAAAGATGAGACCATTGTCCGATAATCGATCAGGGATATTTTATGAAGTCAATATTATTACAGACAGACTATGTTATTATTAACACTTTCAGAGAATTAATCTTATGTTATTTTATTAACTTGATGATCTTTAAACCTTTTACATAAATAAGCCAGACAATATGTGATTATTTATAATTATTTAATTAATTTATTTTTAAGATATACTAAAAGAAAATGGCATGGACATTACTGAAGAAATACTGGATCAAGAATATGCTCAACCTCTGACTCCGGAAGAAGTCAGATGGTTTTATAAAGACGGCGTTGATAAGAGATGGGTCGAGTTTTGTGGATACGATAGTTTAAGAATTGAAAATGCTTGGAGGCGAAGAGAAGCCCAGGAAATCAACCAGACGAATGAAAATTCAATGCTTTCCGAAAGAGTTGTAGTCAAAGGTGGAATGTATGACGTTGAATTAGATAAAATGAAATGTATGTCAATCTATTGGCCAGGTGAGTTAATTATAAGCTATTTTCAATTATTTTTCCCAAGCTTATGCAATGTAGGGATATGTTGATAGATGAATGATGAATTAAATCATTAATATCCTAAAAAATAAATCATCTTGTATCATACATTCTTTAAACTGTTAATTTTTCGAAGAAAAAAAAATGAATACATTTTTCTTTCAAGTGAATTAACATAATTTTCTGAATCCTAGTACTGATGTACTTAAATCTTCTATCCAACCTCAAGAGCTGAATTTTAGATTTTTTTGAATGTTAGTTCTGATAAAAGAAATTGCTGATAAGATAATATGTATTGTAGTTTTTTTAAGAAAACTCTCAAATAAAAGTCGAAATCTGCTTTAAAATAGATCCTTTGAAACATTTACCAATTCCAAGTGATTATAAAGTGAAAAGTTGTTCAGATAAGTCTATCAAATCATTCATTCTGCTATGATTAATATAATCATTTTTCCGCAACTAGTTATTCAATACAGATATAGTTTAATCTTTTATTTCAAATTGTATCAATGTATTTATCTAACGGATTATTATATTAAGATTAGCAAATTACTTTTTAATGTAAAACATTTATTTTATGATAAAGTTCGCTAATTTTTTCACTTGTAATCACAGTTGAGTTATATTTTTATGATTAATAAAATATGTGTTATGATCACACAATCTAGATGAGTTTATATTTTCTTAATGCTTTCAGTTTCTATCTAGTTACTACAAAAATTACTATGTCCTTGAATCTATTATCGTCAATTTCCTTTAGATGCATTCACTATAAGTAATATTCGAGTGAGCCAAGAATTGTATTCAAGTTACTTACTTGATTTTCATTCATATTAATTTTAAGTAAATTTTGAAAATTTTCAATATACTTTTTATACAGTCTTTATGTGAAGCTTTGATGTCATGATAACAACACTTTTCCATGTTATCTAATGATCATTAAACTATTTTAAAATTCGTATTTATTATCTAACAGCTTGAAGCAAATGGAAAAAAATTCAAATAATAATGACTCATGACCTTCATTTGTGTTTAAATGATGCATAATTATTTGAAAAATGTCAAAAAAGTATATTGATTATCAATTTTTCAGGAGAAGAATGGGAGATAATGCGGGCGACTTGGTATTATGAAGCGAGTTGGATCCCTCTTGAAATGGAACACTCAAGGGTGATCGAAGAAGCTCATCTCCGGCTTTTCGAACGACAAACAAATTCCTCAGAGTCAACGCCAGAGGAAACATCTACCTCACATTCTTATAAAGGTATTTCCATTAATCGTGTATTCATTTATGAATATTAATTAACATTTTGTCTCTTTGATAAATGATCTTTCGATATGACGTCATTTATTGTCTTTTTCAGTTTTACATACCGTACACTTTCCAGAATTTCACGTTGATTGGCATGCCATTAACGATGTCGCGCTTTATAGTGAATATACTCCAAGTAAATTAATGCGTAGCGTGACATCTAAATTAGGATTTACGAAAAGTATGTTGCATTAAAATTTTTGTCATACGATTAGTTAGCTCATATATTCACCAACAATCAAGTTATTCATTTTTCTAAGCAAGTGGTTATCGTCTGAAACGCGGCTACAAGTGTCTTGCGACGATGGATGATAAGCCTCATGATATTGACCACTTGGTTCTTGTTGTACATGGAATAGGTCAAAAACGTGATACGGGAAAGATTATTCGAAATACTGCATCGTGAGTAAAATAAACTATTTATTGCACTTGTTTTAAAGAAGGCTACATCAGTTATTGGTAATTTATAGTTCAATTTCAAGCATATAACACTTTTATTAAATAATAAAAATAACATTAAAAATATCAGCTTAGCGCTAAATTTTTTGCTGAATATGATTTATTCATCATATTTTTTCTAAGAAATAGATCTTACTACTTCTTGACAAATCAATTAATTATAATGACAAAATATTTATTCATAATGCACGTATTTATCAATTAGATGTAAAGAAAACTTTTGATAATAAATGATAATAATTTTATAATTTATATAGAATTAAACAATAAATTTCGCTTTCGCAAAATATTACATCAATATTATTCTGTTTCAATTGTAACATGAAGAACAAAAAAAAATACATGTTGCAAGTAGTTATAATTTAATCAATTCATGTTATATAATGCAATAAAGTTTATCATTTTTAAGGGAAACAGAGAGTTATTAAACGCTTGTGTTAGCTGATAACTGATGTAATCATTCAATTTTATTTATTTTTATACTGAATTTTAACACGGTTATTCAATTTTCAAAATTACAGATTTCGAGACTGTGTTGACTGGTGTAAACAAAAATATTTTCCAAGCTCACAATTCCGAGTGGAATTTTTCCCAGTTGAATGGAGATCTTCATTGAAGCTTGATGGAGATATTGTTGATGCTATTACTCCATATAGTGTGATGAGTATAAGACATCTTTTGAATACTTCAGCAATGGATATTCTTTATTATACAAGTCCATTATACGGGGGAGAAGTACGTGCAGGATTGCAACGAGAGCTCAACCGTCTATATTTTATGTTTACAACTCGTCATCCAGGGTGGAAAGGAAAAGTATCGATTCTCGCACATTCTTTAGGTTGTGTTATTGTTTATGATATTGTTACTGGATGGATGGGACCTGATACAAGACCTCCATCACCAGCAGCACCAGATATTTCTTTGACAGATGGCCTAAAATTCACCATTGAGAATCTATTTTGTTTAGGCTCGCCATTATCAGTATTTCTAGCGTTACGAACACGCACACCTTCTAATAAATTTGACATTATGCCTCCAGGCCTATGTAAAAGGTTTTTTAATATTTTTCATTGGTCTGACCCCGTGGCCTATCGCATGGAGCCTCTTTTAGTAAGAAATTATAGTAAAATAGAACCTGTTCTTATATTGCCCTATGGTGGAGTTGATGGTCAACAAATTGAACAACCTCCAGCATTGAATAATGGTGATCCAAATATTACTACACCAGGTAATGCTTTTTTATTTTACATTCAATATTAGTTTTATATAATATTTAAAACCTTTTTTTGTTTTTGGTTCTACAGAGAATGAAGAAAAAGAAGCTGAAAGTCCAACTGACACTGCTAACCGCAACGAAAAGGGTTGGAGTTTGTGGGGTTTAGTTAGAGGTGGTTGGAATACGAAAGAAGGACCATCATCGCCAACTCCTGATGCAAATATAATAAGACCGGATGAAGGTAATATATTTGTTTTAGAGTTAATTACTAATCAAAGTCGATATTGACCTTAGAAGGTAACTTAGCTGTTCTGATTCTTAATTAATGAGTAATAAATTAACAGATTTTTTTTTTTATTCTAGAACTGGAACAGCGATTGGATTATGTCTTACGACCTGGTGGATTAGGTCGTAATTATTTGTACACAGTAACGGCTCACACAGCATATTGGAATAATTATGATGTCGCCTACTTCGTGTTAACTAGATTATTTCCTAATTTAGAAATTTGATGTTGGAGCAAGCTTTAAGCATCTAAACGGTTAATTCTTATTGGATTGCCATGTGCGTTTACTAGTCTTAAAAATAATTCAATAAGTCTAATTGTATTTGGTGCTCTACAATTAGACCGTTTACCAAAAAAGAGCAAAAAATTTAGGAAAAATTATGTAGATTTATATATTTACTGAAAACCAACTGTGATATCAGCAAAATGATACAATAAGACAATTTACCATGTAAGTAAATGTTTTTTGCATAATTTTCATATTTAAGAAATTACATAGATCACGAAAAAAAAAAAATTGTATTCAATTTACAAATGTGCAATGCATTTTTATATTTCATATATCAAGAGGATATTTCCTCTATTATATTATTAATTACTGTTGAATTTACAAACAATAGCAATTAATCATTATAATAATTATAATTTTTGATCTGTATTATATTTATTTTGTGTTTCATTGAGTTACATGTATTTAGAATTTTTTATTCTTCAATTTTCAATATTCGTTGAAATCTTGAGATTATATTGAAACAATGATAAATTAATGAAAACGCAGCAATACAAATATTTTAAGAATTTATCCAAAAAACACACAATTAATTCTTATATATAAAATAATAAGATTAGTTAATTATTATTGTAACTAGAAATTTTAAGATATGATAAATCGAATTAATATATCATATGTTAAAAAGACGAACTAATGAAAGAAATACGTTATCGTATGTGGTTTATTAACGATAATAAATTAAATTCGTCCGCTTAAACAAATATTTAAATGATTTCTGGTAAGATTTAAATTGCGACTATATCACTAATAAAGATGTGAAAATGACTTTTTATAATTCATAGTTCGAGATATAAGAAAACATTACTTGCCATTAATTCGACCATTTTTATACGAACATAGAATTTTAAAAATACAATTCGATTTAATGATATAATAGAGATTTTAAGATTGACAAGAAAATAGACACAAGTTTCTAATGTTAGAAATTATTGTTATATTATAAATGATACTTATACTCGAGAATTAATACTGTACGACACGTTATCGTAAATTTTTTTCATATCAACAATGAGGCATACGAAAATCAAAAATTTTATTTTACTTATGTTTTCGATTTTCTTATTTATTATAGAATGTGTCAAACAAAGCACATAGCTGTTACACAAATTACACAATATCACATGCGCTTTTAATGATCTAAATATGTAATTTTTTTTATGGAATGAAAATGGAAATGTGATGATGAGATGGAACGAAGAGAAAGAGATTTGAAAATTAAAATAAATTATTGTTACTGTAAAAAATCAATGTCTCAATTTTACTATTTTTTATAATGCTTTCGTACGTGTTTTGGATTTGTTATTAATGTGATTATAAATAATTGATTATTTATACTTTTTCAAATGAAATTTTTTAAATAATTTATTATAAATATCAATTGATTTTAAATATAAAGATGAAGTAGATTAAAATTTATAAGATCTAATGTTTGACGTAATTTTTCATCTTGTTGAATATTATCAAACCATCTAGAGACGTTAACATACAGTGCTTTCTCCTGATAGGTCAACCCACTCTGAAATGAATAAGGGCCACATATGAGATTACATCGATCCAGGTACATTTGTAAAGATTCTAAGTATTTTTGAATGACATTTTGCTATTTTTTACAATGACTGTTATTACCATAATTGTATGAAGAGTGTAGTATAAAACTATATCCGCAATAGTTAAATTAGTTCCTGTGATGTATGTATTGCTAGCCAAGGCTTGATTTATTTCCTGTAAATAATGATGAAATTATTAATAAGAATGATTTTACTGATTTAAACAAAACTGACAGAAATATTATTAATAAGCTTAGATTACGGTAAACCATATAAATCCAACTAAAATTAGGTCACCTTATACGTAAATACTTGACTGAATATTATGCAACATTAAAAAAGTACTAGCTACCATTTGAATTATTTAAAAAATTGATTTTAATAACCTTGAGAATTCGTTTCGTATTTGTTGAAACATCGGCATAATTGACATAAAGGACTGCATATTCCAACCATTGCCTTGTTAGTGCTTTGGTAACAGGATCATTGCCAACAATACCAGGAATCTCTGAACGTTGTGCAAGTGCTTGTATAATAGTGCTAAATCCTTCAATCGTATGATTTTTTACCAATTCCGTTGATGCTACAACCTTGATAATATTATCAATTATAATTAATATGTATTTGATAATTTTATAATTGAAAGTAAATAAAATTAAAAATTCAAACATACGTTATTTTTAGAAAGGTGTAATTCTATTGGAGAAACTCCTAAATATTGAGATACTTGTTGAACACATTCAATACTGCACAAAACCATTTTTATAGAAGAATTTATTAATAAATTCTAGAAGTTAAATGTTTAAAAATAAATAAATAAATATTTTAAAAAGTGGACGCAGATGTAAAGATGTTTTAGGTTATAATTCACTGCAGCACGTGGAGTACACTGTAGTAAACAGAATGGATTGGAGCAAATGAAGGATAGTAGCGACAGACTTACAAAAATCTTTAGGTATATTAAAAAAATGGCATTCAGGTGTAATAATTGTTATTTTTAATTTTTTAAATTATTTATCATAGTTGGATAATATTTATAAATTTTTGTAATTTATCAAAAAATAGAGAAATAAAGTAAACTAATGCATTTAAAAAAATTGATTTTTATTTTCTGTTCGATTATTCAATTTAGTTACATTATTGAATGTACAATAATAAATATAAAGTAAAAAATATTGTATAATTAAATGAATTTTTATGTATAAAGGATAAAAACTATACATAAACAAAAAGACAAAAAATGCGATATTTCTTCGTGGAATACAAAAAAATAATATTCCATTACAAAATTTATATTATAAATTTTTCTTATCAAATTAATTTGTTTGAAATTTAACAATGTTTTTTACGTTACAATGATCCCTCAGTTTGGCATATCAGTTAGAATACATTAATATTTATCAACTTTCAGTTTAAGAGTCATCTAAAAGTAAATACTTAAAAATTTATATATTCATAAAGGAAATTAATTAATGATTATGGAGATTACAGGTAGATATCACATGATTTATAGATTCAGTGCTTACAATTGGAAGCAATTCTAATTTTCCAAAAATTATAACTAACCTTTGAATGCATCTGTAAATTATTTTTTTATTATTACCATTTACTTATGAAAATAAGTATGAAAATTTAATTATGTATCCGAATTTCGAATGGTCATTAAAATATTAAATCTAGTTTTAAAATACTAATCATTCGGAACCAAGTGCAGGTACTGATGGATTTTTAGTGACATCGTCAAATCAGTAGAGCCTTTTTTCATAAGAGAATAAACTATGAACGTTTCCTTCTAATTGGGCTGAGTGTGATCGTCTTTCGAATTTAAGTTCACCACTATACATTAATGATTTTAAAACTGATACTGATCTTGCTCCAATGTCTTGGCAACCATGTTTGATACCACATTGTAAATATGGTAAAAATTTCAAAATACTTCCTTTATCAACAATAGAGCCACTAACACCCTGAGCCACTTTCATTTTATCCATTTCATTATGAAAATATCGATCCATAGCAGAACCTTTGGCATCTTTTCGATTCATTGCTTCTAATGATCCCATTCCTCTATATTTTTTTAGACGAACACCATCACTAAAGAAATATTCACCAGGTGCTTCTGATGTTCCTGCTAAAAGTGATCCCATCATCACAGTACTGGCACCGAGACTAAGAGCTTTAATAATGTGTCCAACTGATTGAATTCCACCATCAGCAATAACAGGAACTCCAAACATTCTAGCATATTCAGCTACTTTATATACAGCAGTGGCTTGTGGACGACCGACAGCCATAACTTCTTGAGTAATACAAATTGAACCACTTCCCATACCAACTCGAAGTCCATCAGCTCCTGCTTCAATTAAATTTTTAGCTTGAGCTGTGGTAACTACGTTTCCAGCTATTACTTGAAGCTGAGGATATTCGTATTTAATGTATTTAATCATTTCGATTTGAAATATTGAATTTCCTTGAGATGAATCCAACACGACAACATCAACTCCTGCAGCTGCCAACAATTGTAATCGTTCTTTATCTGTATTTTTAGTTCCAATTGCTGCTCCAACAAGTAGCTGTTTGTTTTCATCTTTACTAGCATTAGGATAGCTACGATTTTTCTTCAAATCAGTTCTTGCCATTAAAGAAACTAATTCTCCTTTCTCATTGACTATTGGCAGTTTCCCCTTTTTCGATTTCTCAAGAATTGAATTGGCTTCTTGAAGGGTTACTCCGGACTTAGCGGTGATGAGATTTTCCAATTTTGTCATTACAGTTTCTAATTTAACATTCTGTTGATTAGCAGATTCCTCGAGAAAATCAATATCTCTCGATGTTACAATACCAACAAGTTTGCCTCCAATTTTTCCATTCTCTGTTATGGGTACTCCACAAAATCCATGCTCAGCTTTAACATTTAATACATCTCTAACAGTATGATTAGGAGAAAACACTACAGGATCTCTAATAAAACCGTGTTTATATTTTTTAACCTGCAACAAATAAGACTTACAATACTGCAAAAGCAAATAAAAAAAGTGTTAGCTTTACCTTATGAACTTCAGAAGCTTGATACTCTGGGGAACAATTATGATGAATGATTCCAATACCTCCAGAAAGAGCCATAGCAATAGCCATATCTGATTCAGTTACAGTATCCATTGGTGATGATACTAGAGGAACTTTTAGCATGATTTTACGAGTTAGTGGTGATACTAATTCAACATCATCAGCGACAAAATCAATATAACCAGGAAGAATTATGAAATCATTATAAGTTAATCCTTCTCCAGTTGAAAACAATTGCGCTGCAGAAAAGCCATCAGCTGGAAGTGGAATATCTGCTGTTTTTGTTGATTCACCAATAACATAATCAGCCATCCTGTCTGTAGAATTCTCTTTTTCCCTTTTATTATGTAAGAACGTAGTAGTGAATTCTATAAGCTTTTATGTATTGGAGTAATGATTTAAATTGATTTAAAAAAATTCAATAGATGTTAACACGTGGTACTATTAAACTTAGTCGGCCAATATTACACTCACAAAATGCTTGGTCGAAATGACCGAATAAACGGAACGTGGCTCGTTTTTATATACCTGGCTACCTTCCAGTATTCTGTACGAGAGGGCACTTTTGTCACGAAGCTTTTATGGGTTGCAAATTGTCTAATTTTGTTAGTAATTACAATTAGAAGACTGAGAGTAAAATATATGTTAAAGCGAATTGATTTGATTGGAAGTGTCGCTGTTATTTTTTACTTTTTTTGCAAACTACTGAACTCAGCTGCAATATCGGTATAACAGATGTAGAAAAAATTTGAAGAAGATTATTGTTGCGCCCTCTATGAACTAATCACCAAATATTTGCAGGTTATCCAACTTAAAATTTTGTTGTTTTCTCAACACCACGTGATAGAAAAGAGAAATGTTTTTCTATTTTCTAATCAGTGTTGTCACAGTAAATTTTAGTAATTCATGTTTATCGAAAATGAGTGAAGAAAAAATTGGATCTCTACCAGAGGAGGCTTTAAAAAGGAAGGAACGTCTTGCTGCATTAAAAAGAAAAAATGAAGAAGCTAAAGAACACAGCAGCGGAGCTCCTGCAAAAATACCTAAGTAAATATTATTTTTTTATTATTATTGTTTATACTCTTTTACTTGTGTTGAATATTAACAATATGTGACTATTGTTAATGTTATTTTCAGACCAAAGTTTAGGAGTTATAGACCACAAGATGAAAATTTAAGAGAAAACGTCATAGAAAATGCACAACCAGGTGATGTAGAAGCAGAAGTGAAAGATCTTTTAACTGCAGCAAAATCTAATGTGGTTATAGAAGAACTTGTAAGTATTGAGTAACATTTGTTACAGTTCATTAAATATTTTCTCTTTATCTTATTGTATTTTAATAATATTTTTTATACTCAGGATATTGGTAGTTTAGCACCAAGAAAATCAGATTGGGATTTGAAAAGAGATACAGCAAAAAAACTCGCAAAATTAGAAAGAAGAACGCAAAAGGCTGTGGCAGAATTGATTATAGAAAGGTTAAAAGCAGGAAATTCTCAAGATATTGCTACTGCTGTAAATATGGTTGGAGAAATAGAATCGCAAACTTCTAAATAATAGATGTAAGTAATTATATGAGTTTCTCGCAATCTTTTATTTGGTATAATTGATAACTATTGGTTAAAAAAAGATTTGATAGATTCATACAGAGATAATAATTTACATCAACATTCACGTTAAAATATTTACATAGCACTCGATAATAAATAGATTCACTGCAAATCGTAGTGTTTTAAAGTGACGTTATCCATTTGATTAACATTGTAGTCACTTTTAATGCTTTTGGAAGTGTTTAAAAAGTGACTATAATATTAATCAAACGGGTGACGTCACTTTAAAACACTTCCAAATTTGTGATTTGCAGTGTTAATTACTTACATTAATTTATTTTTTTCATCAAATTAATAAATAAAAGGTCAAGCACACAATGATTAAATAGCGCAGATTTTTAAAACTGATTATGTTAATTGATACCTATTTTATGTCATTTTTAAATACCAAGTATTCCAATCCACATGTCAGGTGAAATTGTGAAAGTTATCACGACAAAACCAAATGTTAAAAATGCTGTTGGTTTAGTTTGTTCACCATAATTGTTATGTTTAGTCTCAGGTACATTGTAGTATATTTGTCTATCTTCTAAAGGCTGAATAGGTCGAAAATTATGAGTTAATTTTTCGCCATCATTACTTTGTACATTTCTAAATTCTTCAAGCTGTAAAAATGTAGTTTAAGATAACAAGTTGTATAAATATTAGGAAATCATAATAATTTATAGACAAATCATTGATATTTTTTATACTTAAAACTTTTGTGAATAAATTGATAAAGAATCAAAAAATCTATTATTATTCCAAAGTTAATAAGTTATAGTTATCTCATTACTCACCTGCCTATGAGAAAGTGTAAGAGCATCTTTGAAGTCAATCCAAGTTACAACTTCAGAACATGGTGGAGTAGTGAGAGAGCCATTATACGTAAAATAGCTCTCAAGAGAATGACCTTCAGGTACTAATAAGTGTTGCAAAATCAAAGGATCAACCAACTTGGTCGTAGATCCAACATCTTCTATAGTCGGCAGTACATCAACAATTACATTGTAAATAGGATTGTCTTCTTCACTGACCTATGAACAAAGTGGAAGAAAATTGTGATGTGCTTGTGATGGTTTATAGACGATAAAATATGAAATATTTTTCGAAGAATGTTAAAGTGTGATTACTTCGAAGAAATAAGCAAGCACGGTTAAGCCATCGAAATAATCAACAGCCTTTGCCAACGAGCCGTAACTTTTCTTATAAAAGACAGCATGAAGTTCCATCGCAAATGAGTGATTGTTTATTAAATCTTCTGAACCTTCTGAATCATTTGCACCCCAATGAAAATGAAGTTGTTCAAAAACATAAGGATCCGGACCTAGAGGTCCTCCAGAAATTATTGCAGTTGATGAATCATTTACTCTAAGCATTACTGAAATTTGGAAATAAATTCTGACTTAATATTGACTTAAATTCACAAAAAAGCTATTTAACAATCTTTCTAACTATATCTAGATTGTGCTTATTATTAATACAAGACTACTTATAATTTAAAAATTAGAAAGTTAAAAATAATCATCCTTCAAAAAGCATGTTGAATCAGACATGCTAAGTGTATCAATTATCATAAGGAGATATAAACAGGTTCACATGATAATACGTAAATAAAATATCATACCTGTATGACCGTTGTTCATGAGGTAAGTATTTCGTGGTTTATCAAGACCAGATATTTGTAGAAATGGTAATGTAACGTTAATAACATCATGCTCTTCAATGTCAATAGGAGATTGATGTTTTCCCACGCAGCCACTGTAGTCATGACCCCAATTCATCGGTCCTATATGATCAAAAAAAATATTTTGGACATAATTTTTTATAAGCAATTATATAAACAATCATCTCTTAATTAATGTAGTTACTCTACCATGAATGCCTTTGTAACTAAAGTCATCACTGCCACTTGATGCACCTAAAGCGAATCGATTAGACTTTTAGTATTCAGGTTCTTTGATGATTTGGTAAAAAAACATAATTAATAGGAAAAATAACTACTCTATAAACACAACTAATGATCAATTTAGTTTTGTTGATAAATATTACGGCTTGAAAAAAACAACATCTTATCAATTAATTATACATATCAGCTTTCATGCAGGTAATAAGTAAGTTAAAAGGGAATCATTTACATATATATTAATTATTCAAATGAATAACTTTTTTATAAACATCATTTTATTGAGTGAATAGCATTGTATTATCTAGTTTATCCTTCGAAATTGTTACGAATCATATGAAATTATTAGACTCACTTTATTATTATGAATAATACGATACTGTCAGATGTACTTTACATGTTTTTGTCTATTGATTACATATATAGTAATTTCAATTAGTGGATCTACTTCAAGCTTTTGACCTTCAAATAAAATTACTTGTTAGAGATATTTTATGATATAAAATTTTTTTCGTTACTATGCACAAGTATTCACACAACAATTCACATAAGCACTAAAACTTTTTGTAGTTTTCTGATCGTGAGAATGCAATGCTGTAAGTTCCTGTTTTTCATTGTTATTTTAAATTAGTCAGTGTATGTACAGTCATTAGCTCCCATAAATTACCAATATCTGTTGACAACTCTAATTTCTGAATTATGTTTATTTCCGTTTTTATACCAACTTGAGTGCAATGATCAATGCTGTTGATGCAAAAATTTATAACAATCATATTATTTGGAGTCTTTCAATTTTGTCTGATAACAGTCTTTTGAATCATTAATATTAATAATTCAAAATTATCTTACTTTTATTGAGCATCATTTATTGTTCTTTCAGAACCAATCGATTCTTTTCAACGAAAATGATCAAGACATCAACAATTAAATATTTCTCTAGTTTATATCAGAATAAATTAAATAGTAAATAATTGTTTCGTTTCATAGCCTACATAGGAAACAAGTTTTTTGATAGAGTTACCAGTTTTCTAAAAAAAATAATTTCGAAATTTATGTAATTTTAATATTCAAGGCAAATTATCCTTAACCCACTTGGCAAATGATTCCAGAATCACGTGAAGTCAATGTAGTTCCCGGCAATCCCCTTACAATCAAGGATTATGATGAGACACGTGCCTTTCAATAAATTTTGTTAGTGTTGAAGAAAATAAAGCAGTTGGAGAGTGAATACCATAGAAATCAAACTTATTCAAATTTTTATTTTCTTTGGTCTTCATCATGCTATGACCTGCATATGGAATGAAATGATATGTTGCAGTTTTTATAGTTTTGCTATCTGATTTGGAGATTAATCTACCGTCCGTTTTTTTTTCTATATTTATAAAACCTTCGTTATTAATTTTAGATAACACAAATGATAAAATTGTTATACAATAAACTCGAAAGATTACTCTTATAAATGCTACTAGTACATAATAATAATAATTATTGTATGTAGTTTGAGAAATTTGAATCGAGACTTGCATAACAACTTCTACAACATACTCAAAAAATAATAGCAAAATTATTATATCAAAGTAATTTCACAATTTTCTTGTAAAAATAGTCCAGTAACAATAGACAAAAATAAACATAAAGTAATGATTAGTTACAAATATTTATTTTGCTTCAATATCTAAAGATGAATGGAAGTTATTTAAATTCAATAAAAGAAGAGTGTCTTAATTGGCAAGTCTTGATTACTGATTGCAAGGGTAATATTGATAATGTAATGATTACCATGAGACAATAGTGTATCAGTAACAGAAAAATAACGAGCAATCAGAGTATTATTACATAACTTATTTTGTAATAAAACTCCAACATATAATATTTTATTTAACAATAATGACATCATGAGAATAGTAAATTCAAAATTAACTAATAATAATGTATGGTTATAATTATATGTTGTAAGTTATAGTATTCAATTAATACTAGCATAAATTATTAGATGTTTTTTAATGTTTACTATTGCTTAACAATTTTTTAGTAATAAATAATATAATAACTATCATGTTAAAGATCAATATGGAGCTTAAACCTAATCTATTGATTGTCATTCTTTTTGTTTCAGAATTGTCACGAAAGCAACAGCAACATGATTCTCAGTTTTGATGAATTCAAAGGTCAAAGTCATGTTAAAACCCTAATGAATTCTTTTTTTCTTAATATCTTTATCGTTTGATTTATCGAGACTTTTATTAATCTTATGATAAGTTTGAGTTACACTTTTCTTGAAATACAAAAGAAAAAATCTTTTAGTTATTATTTTTCATCAGTTCTATAGTATTATAGTTATCAAAACAGTTTCAGTAGTATAATCTTAAGGATTGACTGAGATATCTTGACTAATGTTGAATGAAGTCATCATTATGACACGTGTGGATGTATTTTCTTTACTCTATAAATAGTTTTAAGAAAAGTAATCGTAACTTATATGCACTTTTTCTTAGTATAAGAGTTGTTTTTTTTTTAATATTATATTCATGAATTTATATGTTAGATGTTGAGTCAGATTGATTTTAGATATGCTAGATAAATGGACTGATTATAATAAAAATCTGAGAATAATCAAGAACCTATGCATGAGACATAATATTGATAGACATAATAACTCGTGCATTAAATGTAACTTTCTTTTCCGATAGAAAACCAATAGATGTTATAACGGTTTATTTTAGTATTGAGGCTTTTAAATTCAAGAATTAATTACATATTCGTCACAATAAATTATTTAATTCCGTTCATTTAGCTGTCAGCATACTTTTACACATCATTTCCATTCTTTAAATAATTAGACATAATTAATGTTGCACTTTGAAAAACACAGTGGAAAAATTTTATTCAATCAATGAGAAATTAATTAATTAATTGATAATGAAAAAAAAAATGATAATAGAAATTAATATTAAAGTTTAGCTTTGTTATTAAATATTAAAAAATAGCTTTTTTAAAGAAAATGTAGGTAGAAAAAATTATGAATTTAAATTGAAGAAATTTTTATTGCAATGATAAATAAATTAATTTTGTATTCTTGCAACAAATTTGATAGCAATTTTACAAGGGAAATAAAATATTTTATAGTTCTTCTTTAAAAATATTTTTTATGACAAAGATTAAACAGAAGTTCTATTTCCCTTGTGTTTTTTTTCAATGTTTGTTTACAAAGAATATTTGTCACTGCACTTTTTTATAATAAAAAATCAATTTATTAATTGAATATTTTCTAATTATTTAATAAAATGTTGTTTTCTGGTCAAATATTCAGAAATTTAGTACCTACGATTCAAAAAAAAAAAATATTTTTTTAGGGGAAAAATTTAGTTTGATACAAAACTAAGCACACAAAGAAAAAAAAATATTTTTTAATTTATCAATGATAAGTAATAGTATGAAAAATTGACTTACAAATGACTGATAGCCCAATAATTGCAAGTGAAACAGTAGTCAAAGACATTATGAATCGACGGTCAACGACGATATGTCATGCACTTCAGCATCGACAAACTGTTGAGTTAGCTATCGCAGGCTGTCTTGCGATAGTCCAGGCCAGAGAGGAAGAGAGTGGAAGAATAAGTAAGATAGAATGAACAAAAACTTATTTTATACCTGTAATAGGTTCACAAAAGTTTTGGTTATAGTTATAACAGGTTTGGAAAGGTATTATGCATTCTGTTACCTGTTAAATCTTCTGATGCAGATGTTTTAGCATCCAAGAAATGACTAGTGACTTTAATAGCTAATAAAAGTACATGGTAACTGTTTATTCAATAATAATGTTTACTATTTTCAAGAAAATAATGCTATTAAATTTTTCCCAGTTTATTGTATTTATCACTTTTCCTTGTTCATGTTTTTAATCCAGTTTATTAAAATAATATCAAGAACAAAAAAAAATCATCAGTCAACATACTGTCTTGAATTTTAATTTATTAAAATTATTTATTTAGAAAAATTCTTTCTAACATCCTTTAAAGTTTTCACGCTTCAAGAATATTATTTGAAAGAAGAGTATTAAAAAATTCAAATTCAAATAACAATAAACAATAATAATATTGTCGGTTGATAATGTAACAATTATTTACCAAAAATGGAGTAATTCCTTCATTACCGACATTTAAAGGTCCAAGAAAGTCGTTTTTTTTCATTATAGAAAAGTGTTGCATGGTAACTAACGCTACTAGTATAGCAGAGGGAGTATAAGTAGAGAATATACATTGCGTGTATATTGTTGAAGATAGAAAATAATTTAAAAGCTAACGAGAGCAAACAGCCATCAACCGTTCGCTCAACAACAACGCACACAAAGTATCACAGTTAGTACATAAAACGGCTTGGGGTGTGCGTTCCATGTGTTTTAAGTTTATCATATATATTCAATTAGAATCCAAACCAGTTATTTCCATGCATCGGTGATAGTAATATTTATTTGTCCTAATTTCGGGCGAAATAGTAAAAAAAAATCAAATATCTAATCTAACCCACGTAAGTCTTTGTTGTCATTATAGCAATATATATATTTTATCATGTATACATATACACATATACACACGTAGATAATATATACAATAGTGCATTTACTGTTTCATGATGAGAAAAGTTATGTTTTGGTACTAACAAAATGAAATAAAGGAAAATTATAGCAAATGAATGCTTAAAAGATGTTAATGGTTTGATTTTCCACGAACGAAATCACTGGTGAAACGAAAAAGAAAACGGAGTCATGATCAAGTAGAAGGGGAAGGTTGTTTCCGTGTAGAGAGAATTTTCTCGTCGACCGGGTGCGGTTTTTTTCGTGTTGGTGTATATTTTGTAGAAGCAAATACAGTTGAACGAAGAGGTGAGGAAGAAGGAGGCATATATTGAGGAAAAAATGAGTGCAAGTGAAACAAAGCGAGTGTTCTGGACTCTGTAGAAAAGAGTGGGAGCTGCATAGAAACTACTGTGAGAGAGATGAAAACATTAGGACATATGTCCAAAAGAGAGAAAGAGACAAGAATTGAGAAAACGCGCTTTAAAGTGGGATCGACGTCAAAATGTCGCTGAAAACGCCAACGCGAACAGAGTAATCGTTGTGTTGTTCTCCTGTTTCATATCTTGTACGCGGTATTTTTCTACTTATCTATTACAACTGTAATAAAAAAAAAATCGGTTCAGAAAGCGTGGAAAAACAAAGCCTTGTTCTTCATGATTTTATCATAGTTTTCACCACTTATTCATACACAATAATCATTGTTTACGGTATTTTATTTATTTTTCTCTTCGATTCCTTATTTAAATCATCAGTTCAACAGCTTTGCTTAATGCGTAGTATCTCTCTTGATGCAATTATCTCTGTAAGAGATAATTTAAATGACTAGATTACATTTAAACGTCTAATACTCAGAATAAACAAAAAATCCTAGAAATTCAAACTGGGGATTTTCGTGGCAGAGATGTTTTGAAGACCAACTTAATGGATTTTAGACTCATTATGTTTAGATATCTATGGGATCTGTTCGGAGTTTGCTAGACTCTCTATTAGCATTTAGAAGCGCGGGGGAATATAGAAAAAGAGGGAGAAAGATGGGAACTAAGAAAGAGAGAGAACAGTTTTTCTTTAGTCGTGCGAAAGGGAGCAAAAGCTCGTGAGTTGATTGCATTGGGACATGAGGGATCGATTCTATCTGTTTTTTTGTGCATTTTTGTCATTTTCTTCAGCTTTGTATTCACTTTGATGTGTTCAAATATTCGTAGACACAATTAAAGGATTTCTGTAATTGAATGAGGAAATTAAAGGGAAATTATTGTGGTATGTGGAATTTGCTGACGTCCATTAACCCCGAAACTAAATCATTTTATTTTACTTGTTTGAAAAAAATATTTCAATAAATAACCTTCAATTGTTAAACTGTGAAATTGAAGTGTTCTGTCAAAGTGAATAATAACATAGTTTTATAAAATTAATAAAGAACGATTTATTATTAAAAATTAAACAATAAAAGTATTACCAACTACTGCTCTTTGTTTCCACTCAATATGCGTTTTCTTTATTTTAGGACGACTCGTTATCAAAAAAGTTAGTCAAAATGGTGTCCACTCGGCAATCGAGCAACATGGGAAGTAATTCTGCAAGAGTTACTGAACCTGCTGAAGCAGGTTCATTACGTAGACATCATGCTCATGCACAAACATCTAATGTTCAATCAAATCCAGAACCTGCTACTACTCGGCAAGTTAATCTACTCGATTTGCCACCTGAAATTTTGGAAAAAGTAACCAGTTACTTGAATTATAATACAGTAGCTCATCTTCGTTCGGTTTGTAAACTTATATTTTCAATTTAAAAATAGAAAAGATAAAAGAAAATATTCCAATAATTGAATTTTATTTTAGGTATGCCATCAAATGAACTCAATGTGTGGAGCAATTCTAAACTCAACGTTTCAGAAGCTTCAAACACAAATGTTTAATCGTTTTCAAGCTATTAAAGCTCAAATGCCTAGACGTGAGTCTGCAAGACGTAATCATCCTTTAGCTTGTGAATCAGACATCATCGAAACTCTTCATATGCGTTTGACTCTATTACAAATGAGTTTTGGTAAACACATAGAACGAAAACACTGTTGCTTTTTTCCCGGAGAGGTATAATTCAATTCAATTGTTCTTTAATATTGATTATAATTTACTGAAATTTGTTTTTAATAGATTTTAGATGAAGTTTATCGTATTCTTCATTACATAAAAGTAACTCCGAAGCTAGCAAAACCCTATAAAGTCACTGATGAACTATTCGATCTTAGTACCATGGCAATGGAATACTTTAAAGAACGTATTGAACCAACTCTTCCTGAAATAGCATATTTTGGAGCTGATTTTCTCGATTTCGCTGGCACTTTTGCAAGTTTGTATTATTCTATAATAGTTATTAATTTGTGAGATAAGTATAAATTTTGATGAGTCATTTTATGCATTAAAGGTCCCAATACAGTAAGTAAACAATTTATTTGTTTGGATCCAACACCACTGAGTGGTGATACAAGCAAAAGTAGTAGTAGTAGTATAGAAGGCTCTTCTCGACTTTCATCTGATGAACAAGCAGAGCTGCTTGAAAATAGCGTACCTCCTCAATCCAACATGGTACTGCGAAAACGCATTCGCAAGATCAAACAAGGAATGAAAAGGTACAACAGCCAACTTACTTTGATGCGAAGGGATCTACGAAATTGTAAAGCTAAAATTGCCGAGCAACAAAAGCAGATTGTTGAATATGCTACTCGGCTTGATGATAATGATAAAAAGAATGAAGAAACTTCGAGAAAATTCAGCACTCTCCTACAGGTATTTACTAAGGTATAATTAGTACATTGTCAAGACATCAAACGATTCTTCAAGACTTTTTTAAATTACGAGTTTGCGAATTTTATATTAAAAAGTCATTTTTTATTATAGAATTTAAATACTTAAATAATACTATACACTCATATATTTATTATATGACTTAACCTTCATGTTTTTTTTTCTAAACGTCCATTTTATGTTTATCTTTCCATTAACATGATTCAAACATCAGAATTATTTATATAAGAAACATAATGAAAAATTTTAAATAATGAATTACATAAAAATATCGTTTATTTACGAATTTTTATATTACGTATTAGTAATCATTTCCGTATCTACGGATTCCATGAATAAAAATACACTGTGATCATTTATTCCTAACTTTCAACCTGAATTTCTTAAGTGAAAGTCATTTAGAAGCAATTTTTGTATATAAAGTCTTAGAAACTTGAATATTTTTTTTTAAATTATTTTAAACTAATCGCAGACTCGTGTTGTTAAATTAATCAAAATTATATTACCATTTTCTAAATTATTTTTTTGAATTTTCAGGAGTTAAATAAGTGTAAGACGGAACTGCAATACTGGCGATCAAAATCGCCAGCGATACCAGTGTGCAACGGATGTGGCCAATCAATTCCTATGCCAACAGAAGATTTTCAAGCTTTAGCAAATCAAGGAGTTCTTCCAGAATCCTTTGGTGAGCCACTTAATTTTATTCCTATCCCAGATTTAGATAGTCCTACAGAATCAACGTCGCAATCATCTCAGTCTCAATTACAACTACAATCAGTGCCTGTGTTATCAGAAATGGCACCACCTAAGGCACCTCTTTCTTCTGTTATATTAAATAAACGAAAATCTACTGAAGGTACACCTAGTTTAGACGTAACCAAAAAATCCCGACGTACTGCCAAGTCCCGCCAAGCTAAACGCTCAAAGATTTAAGCAACGCTGATCATGGTACAAAAAATTAAACACAAAATATCTGTTTGATATATATCTATATCTTTTTTTTTTGTTTTATATTTTATTCTTGAATTCTTCTTTGAGAAGATCAATAATTACCACTTTTAACACAAGTGAATCAAAGACAATTCATAAACAAAAGTACAAAACTTTTTCCCTAATGTATCCAAAGTCTACAGGGAAGTTCAAAAGTTCTCTTTATTGTTCCGTATATTTTTCATAACTGAAAACATAATAATTCTAAATGATAAGTCTTTATTTATTCACTTGTTGTTAACAAAAGTGGAAATTTTAGTATAATTATAACGCGTGGAATCCGTGTGTTTTTAAGTAAAGTTTATTTGTTAGATATTGATTCTTGTATTTATAGAATATTTCTCACAGAAAATAACCTCGGCGTTTTGTTTCCAATTAATTATTTTTTTTAAATCATTGGTCAAAAGATAAACAAATAATTGGAAAAATCACTCAGGACAATACCGGAGCAGAGACTTGCCGTAATAGATCAATTATAAAACAAAGAATTGTATATTAATTATTACAGATGATATTTATTAATAATCTGTGATAATTTCTATTACAAATCTATCTCCCCTTTTGTCGAATATCAATTCTCGTATCAGTGGGAACTCAGATAATTATTTGGCAACATTTATCGTATGGAGTTTAGTACCTGATACAAATAATTCAAAAAATAAAATAAATAATGACCAAAATTGGAATTAAGGAAACAAATATTTCTACAGGTATTCCAAATTAGTCTACCATGTAGAGTCATATCAATTTATATTTTTTATTTTTTACTTTTTTAAAATATAAATTACCAGTTGTTTTATTTCTTTTTAAAGATTTTTCATTGAAAATTTAATTACATAACAAAATACCCCAATGGGCGGCTGGAAAATTACCGTCAATTTTAATACTTTATTTATTATTTGTCTCACTGATTCGAAAGAATGAATTATAATCAATTTATATCGACCACTCCTTGATGTTAGACAGATTGCCATTAACTGCAATACGACAGCAAGAAAAGAGTGCGATTTATTAATAGAAATATCGTGAGTTATTCATGATTATTATTCATAATCATATACTTACGAATTAAAATATTAAAATAACAAATATACATAATACTAGTAATTGAATATAATACTTTATTATAAAAATATTCAATAATGAAAAAAAAAAAAAATTATATATATTTGGAAAAAGTGTAAACCGTGATTGCGCTTTGAAGCATTCTAGTTTGAATTTTGAACAATAAAAAGTATATGTAAATTATAAAAAATTACAATAATTATCATAATTACTAATACTAATAAATAATAATATTAATGATAATAACAATGCGAATATAACAGCAATTAATCACTATCGATCATAGATTTATTTTATAGAAATTACTGACATAAATATTGATGTATTCATCATTCGATTCATAAATATTTATGTGTATAATTTCATCTCTATTTTCAAACAGAAATCATATGATACATTTAAACAAACGTAAAAATTAATAAAAGTTTGAGTGAAAAAAATTTAATCAATACAGCTAGCTTTTTTGTATGAATGTGAATATTATAAATAAAAAATAATGATCAATAATAAAAATAATTAAAAAGAAAAGATATATTATATATTATTATATATTAAATACTATATATAATTTTGATTAATACGACGAAATTTCATTCGATGTGATGATTTATCGAAAGAAAATAACAAATCGTGAAAAGTGACCTTTATTGAAATAATTATCCATAGATTCTGGCTTTACAGTCAGATTAATGGATTGAAAAATACATTAATTTTGGCATAAAGTTATGTAACTTGAAAAAGGGGGCGGTCTTTATTTACATTGTCGGAAGCTTTGAGTCGTACATAAGTTGTAAAAAAAATATTTGATTTATTTTATCAAAAGAGGAAAGAAATTTTAAATAATAAAGAAAAGTAATATTTAATAAAAAAAAACAATGTTGGTGCCTGAAATTAATGCTTCTGATAACTTTAGTTGGCTTTTGGGCTTAATGATAAGTAAATCAACGAAATTTTTCCATAAATATATTGTTGATAAATAAAAGAAATCAGTTAGGACAAAATAGTAATTTGCAAAAGTAAGAAAATAATGAAAATATTTACTCTAATTCCGACGATCTCCGTCCCCTAGTGATATCACTTATGTAAGATGTGAAGTACCAGTAATCAGCGATGAAAATACAGTAAATTTAACAAAAAATTGAATTAATAATTATAATATAGTTAATAATTATAATGAAATAATATTCTTTAATAATGATTAATATGATAATTAATATTAGTTCTAGTAAAAATATTGATAAGAGGAACTAAAATAGATGAATATCATCATATAATTGCGCTTATTTTAATCGAGTCTAGAACAATAGTTGTATGTACAATCGACTATAAACAATGAATACACAATTAGGAGTTAATTAGTTAAATGTGATTTAGTCCTCTGTATCAGAGATTGTGAGAGCGTAAGGGGAATGTAAATTTCATAAGAGTTTGAGAATGAGCGTTGAAGAGAAAAATGAAAAAAAAAATGGATAAATAAATAGGAAAAAAGATGTTAAGATATAGAAAAAAAAATATAAAAATGAGGGTATATATATATATGCATATATATATTCACTTATGCAATTCAATGTTTAAATTTATTTTATTTACTCTAAAAATGTCAGTAAGAGAAAAATATATAATGTATTTCTTGTATTTACTTGAAAGTCCGCACAACTACAGAAAGAAATCTTAAAAAAAACTGTTATATTGATACGAAAAAAAAATGCTAATTAAAAAATACATAAATAATAAATATAAGATAAAATAATAATGAGATTTATAATGAAGTGATATTGTCAGCGCTCCTACTAATATTTTACGCCGAGGATTAACTTAATTACTTTACATCCTTGTTATTTTCTGTGTATTGGAGCGATTGTAAATACACCATATAAAATAAATATTATTTAACATATGGTTTTATAATTGAACAAATATTCGTTATTATAGTTTAATCATATTAGTTCAAATATGTATTTAATTAATAATTCTAATTAATTTTCAAGTGGTGCAGTGAATAAAAATAATATTAATATAAATATCTCGCAGTTTATATATTTATACGTCCAATTTAATTTAAAAAATTATTTTTAATTTAACAATTAATTGTACATTGTTTAGAATTATTTGTAGTATTTCAAAATTAAGTGATATGTAGAAAATTTAAGATACTTTTTTGCATTTCATGAGCATTGAAAAATATTTGTATTATTTAATTTTTGTTTTGAAATTTCTCTTTTTGTTTACAATTAAAATGCATATTAATGTTATCAATAATGATATTAACGAATGTATGAAATGTATGTATATGTTTTCTTCACAATGAGTCACATGTGCTTTTGTTTGACAGATATATTATGTTGTCCTTAGCAACGAACATTTTCCCGCGTATTTTTTACGTTGATTGCTCTATTTACCTTTCATTGCAATCAAATTCATGTTCATTGTACTTTTCACCGGTAGAGTGCGGCACTTAGTGCAGTGAAACACTTGCAATATGGTCGTCCAAAATGGCCGCTTGGTCGACGTATTGTTATTGCGAAACTTTCTTTATTCGAACCATTTTTACAAATATTACGTATGACATATGTTGCAATCAACATTGTTATGAGTGTATTTAATGTCCTTGAAGAGTACTTCGTATTTACTCGTGATTTGAACGAACACGATAACGAGCAAGTTCGAATGTTTCCATTAACCTCCGCGACAAGTTCGCGTTATTCAACTTAATTTTTTATTTAATTTCCATTGAGTTATCTGTGAATACTAATCAAATATTCACGACATGGCTGATGTGACCCATAAGGAAAGTTATGAGACACGTAAGTATTCATGTGTTAGTTAGATAACATTCATTTTTCTAGTCTCATAATGTTTTGTTTATATGCATTGTTGAACTGTATTAAAAATTTTTTATTATTAAAGTTTTTAATCCTATTGCTAATTATTCGATGTGTGATAAGATAAGACAATATATATTGCATGATTTTACAGAGAAAAAAATTTCCAGTAGTGGAAGTACAGGAAACGCTGGATCAGAAGGAGATATGAAACGTGAACCATCAAGTCCTACTGAAAGATTTGTTTTTTCCCGTTGTAATAGTACGGGATCAATTCATACTCCATCGTCTTCTGCCCATAATACTGGTAAAGTAATTTATTTTATTGATTTACTTAAACTTTTATTAAAATTTTATCTCTAGTATAAATCTTGAATATTTCTCAAGAGTATTCAATTAATACTGAAAGAATTATTTAAATGAATTTTATTTCAGAAGATGAAGACAGTGATAACAAAAATTCAACCATTAGCTATAAAGAACGTCGTAGAGAAGCACACACTCAAGCCGAACAGAAACGTAGAGATGCAATTAAAAAAGGATATGACTCTCTACAGGATCTTGTGCCTACATGTCAACATACTGATTCTTCAGGATATAAACTTTCAAAAGCAACTGTTTTGCAAAAATCTATAGATTATATACAATTTTTATTGCAACAAAAGAAAAAACAAGAAGAAGAACGAAATGCGCTTAGAAAAGAAGTTGTAGCTTTAAGAATCATGCAAGCTAATTATGAACAAATTGTTAAAGCCCATCAAACCCAACCCGGACACGCTGAAACACGTGTTTCGGATGAAACCAAATTCCAAGTAGTAAGTTTTAATATTTTTAGATTAACAGTTTTGATAGAAACAATTTAGTATCATCCTTTTTGTTAGTTTCAGGCAATTATGGATAGGTTATTTCAAACTTTCAGCAATATATCTGTAGCGAACTTTGCTGAATTATCTGCATGTGTTTTTAGCTGGCTAGAAGAACATTGTAAACCTCAGGTAATTACTAAAAAATACATTTTTTTTAAAATATACAGTTTTTAATAATGAAAAACATGTTTCAGACGATGCGAGAGGTAGTGATATCAGTTCTACAGCAACTTCACAATCGAATTAGCTAGTCTATAAAGTAATTCGATATTTTTTTTATAAATATTACAATTTCCATATTAATTATTGCCTGATTATTGTCTCGATCGTTCAGACATAAAGTTACCAACGTATTATTTTATAAAATATACAAATGAAAACTTAAATTAGTTAAGTAAACTTAAATGAAGTAATAAAAATATTATAAATATTTTTTTGAAATCAGGGTGAGGCTTATGTGCCTTTAGAGGTAAGAATGTTAAATAAGAAAATGCCTTTTATTGAAAAATGATATTGATTTGAATACTGAATCACAAATAATATTTAGATGGTAATACAAATAGAAATTTTTTTTATATACAAATACTAAATTGATGTTAATAAATTATTTTAGTAATTATTAATATAGAAAGATTGTTATCTATTTCTTTAATACAAGTTGCCATGTAAATATGAATAAACATTTATTATTCACGTTTATTTATTCTTTGTATTATTTATTTTCACTAGATGATTTTTTAGATTTTTTCGGACTCCGTTGGCATACTTTCACCCTGTGTAATATCGTTTAATTGTATGATATCATTTCTGGCACGAGTAGCATCTCCTGACCCACCTGGACTCCGTCTTCCTCTTCGTCTTTTTGCTCTATCAACTCTTTGACAACACAAGTCCCTGAAGATGCACGCGTAACATGTAAGTAACGCTGTTATCATTATTCCACCTATCACTAAAATAATCACTAATGATATCGATAATTCTTCATCCATTTTCAACTGATAAATTAGACCTGTAAACAAAAAGCAACACATTTATTACCACTTTAAACATTCAGTACTGTTTTTTCTTGATATAATAAATGCATTTACTTATTTTTATAATTGATATTTATCTAATTGAAACGAATGTATATAATCCTTTGAAAAAATTCTACAAAACTTGCATCAAACGTATAAAATTAAATCCATTAAGCAGATTAAAAAATTAAAAACTTGAAAAGGGTAATGTTATCATTTTCAGCATTTGCATAAACTTCAACAGTAGTCTATTTTAGTTCAATTAATCAAATAAAAAAAATACATTTAACAGACAAGTTGTTGACCTACATTGAGATATTATATAACTTTAAAATTCAGAATGAATAATAACCTTTCTTGTATAGCTAGTTTAATCAAATTCTCATTATTTGTGATATTTGTCTCAATTATTATTCAACAGCCAGATAATTATAGATTGAGCATTCTTTTCTTTTCTTTCCACATCATTTGTCTTATCTTACGATCAATATTAACGGAGTATTAAAGAATCTGGATTTTATCGAGCTTATAATCGGTCAACGAGGGTATTCATGGAATAGATTATATTAAGTGAACTGAGGGACGGATTTCATTCGTGAAAAATGAGATCTAATACTTCAATATACTTTAGAATTGTTCAATGATGTATATAATGATAAATGTCGATTTTAATATTAAAAAACACTATGTATACCCTTGTAACAAATTCATTATTTTATAGTAGAAAAGGTCAATATTCGATCAGACTTGCTGAATAAATTTCATGAATAAAATTTCAATTTATCTGCACAACTTGGAAATTAATAAATCAGTTCTATTTTCCAATTCAAAAGTTATCTGTCTTTCCTCTACCACTAGAAATAATAAAGTGATAGCTATGTTGGAAAAAAATTAGTAAGGGTGAAAAAAAAAACACTCTCTCCTGAAGTGTAAGATTGAATTTTTCGACAATAGAACACAATTTTCTCATCTTGTCAGTATTTTCCAAGTCGAAAAGGGGAAAAAATTACTCATAAATCGTACGATATATTTTTTCACGATTCCCTCGACATTCTGATACTTTCTTTTCCTTTTCTAAAAGAATTGTCTCTTTATTCATTTAAGATACAAAATTGTACACTACATCCTTTTTATCTACCCTTCAATTCTTTTCTTTACTTTATCTTTTTATTTCCCGTCTGTACCTTAAGGTATAGATATATAGATGTCATCAGATTATTTATCAAGTCTATTTCAGCCTCGGCAACTGTCTTTCTTCCTGCCTTTTTTCTTCCCCATTTTAGCAAATTGATAAAGTAAAATTTCAAAAACGTTGCAAATTTTTTTATGTTTTTTATTTTGTTTCCAGACTATTAATACGTATGCTGTTCCACTAATTTTTTAGCATTGTAAACTTTGAAAAGTTTTTTCTATCCAGAGATATCGCTTTGAAAAAAAACTCTGTATAGTTTTAAAACAATGGTATCTAGAACAACAAAGTAACGAATTCGAAACAAAAAAATTGTAATTGGGATTGAATGAAAATTTTTGTTAATAGATATGTTGACAATATTTAATCCAGTACAATCACTTTGTGGACCATAAAGGTTTCCATCATGCTTTTAGAGAAGGGAAAGGAAAATTATTTAGTCAAGCGTCAACTCCTACTATCAAAGTGGTGAATAATTTATTTTTAAACATCCTATCAAAGGTTTGTGAAGAAGAAGATTCAATTAGTATTGAGTGTTTTTTTCTTTTATCAGTGTTGAACTGTTGAACATAAAGACTAAATCCAACAGTTTGTAATAACTTTAATGACTATGAAACAAATCAATTGCAGTTTCGTATATCATGCTACTGGAAATCTCTATAATGTAATTCAATATGAATTCCTTTAGTTTGCAATATCAATAGAAATTGAAAATTCATATCCTTTATGGTATTTGATGGTAGAAATGTACCTACTGCAGTTTATGCTTATCAGTGCACGAGAAGATTAAATTTTAATCTTCTCTTGGTTCATGCAAATCTGTGAATGAATATCAAGTATTTACACCTGTTTTAAATTGTTTATAACATGACTTTTTAGTGAATTGTGAATTCTATTTAGTTTATAGTTTCTTATGGAAATTTATTTAAATTTTATTGGGTAGCAAAAGAATGATACATTCATAATTAGAGAATTCATTGCTGAATTAGATGAATAGCACATTCACGAATGATATTATTCATCCATCTATAATGGATTTCATTATATGAAATGATTATTCCATCACTTTGTATGCTAACTTATGAGCCTTTCAATTAAACACAAAGGACATAAAATAGATATTCGCAATTTAACTTTATTTAGACATCATTATTCATAATTGTGTGATATTAAAATTTTTAATGGCACTCATACTCTACTGATACTCATACTATATAAAATATATCATTCTGAATTTAATTATTCAAGATGCTTTTAATACTATTTTTTTTTATCTATAACGTCCAACTAATATTGCCTTTAAAAATAAAGTAATTAAAGTAAAAAATTGTACCTTTAAATTACATCAATATTTACTATGAATCATAATTTGTTGAAGCTTATCTAAATAAAATAAATCTTTAATGAATATTTTTATGAAATAATTACAATTAATCAATTTTAATAAAAGTAATAGTTCACTTACATTATTTAATAAATTACATTTACTTAAAATATTTTAAAATAATGTGTATTATTATTTATACTTTTTTTTATATGTTTTAAAAATTAATTTAAATAGACATATGAAAAACATTTTAGAGATCAATGGATTTATTTATTGTTAATTTTGTGTTCCTATGAATATTATTATTATTATAATTATTAATGTTAGTGAATAATACAATTTTCAGTTTTATATCATTTTCAATGAACGGATTAAATTGAATGGAATTTTGAAACATAATTTAGAGAACTATTTTCATGCATATAAAATAATAATAAATATTAAAAATATTTTTTAATTTTTTTTTTTTAATAAAACAATGTTTTATTTTAATATAAAATATTTCAAAAATTTATGATATATTTTTATCGAAATTTTTACCTGAAATATTTCCAATAGATCAGATAAATTGCAAGCAACTTGTTTGAATTTACGTTGTTAAAGAATGATCAAGCTCAAGAGAGCGTCGAAAAGCTCGTTGATAACCTTGTGAAGCACAGACCAATTCTAGTTGGTAGGATTGAAACTTTCCATTGAATATCCATGGGACTCGTAACATTTTATTTTCTTGGAGTATTTTTTCAACCTCTTGTCCCACTTCTCTAGTATTCGATTTTATTTATACACACATTTGTATTTTTTTTATATTCGTAATCACTCAAGCATCTCAAATACTTGGTCAGCGATGCTTTTTATATGTGTAGTTAAATTGAAAAATTCCGTATCCTCATAAGTTTTTTTATCGCTCATATTTGTAGAGAGACATTTTTTCCACTGTATATCGGTCCAATATAAATGCCAATCGAATTTATTGAAAGTATTAATAGAAATGAAAATTAAAAAACTTTACTCATAATTTTAAACTTCATTGTTTTAATGAATGAAAGTGAAATAATTAAGAAGTTTAAATAATTAATAGTAAATGAAGAAAGTATTTTTTATTAATGTTTATAAAGTTTAACAATGGGGTCAGTGAACACACAGATAGTTGTTACAGGTTGCGACTTATACAAGCGACTGTGGGATACCGAGGGTAGTTTCGCACTTCAACCCCTTCTTCGCTTACCAATCCTTGCGCGTCGGCCGGAAACTCGTCGCTTATATTCTCCCCTCAATTTTCTCCTCACAATTCTCGTCCCTTTTTCTACTCGTGTTACTCTACATTACCCTTTACTTCTTTAACTTTTATGTTGTATATTAGGAGAAAACTTTAGATATAATATTAAGCTTCAATTAAAATAACTTTCTTACGAGTTGTCTGTGAAATTTTTTCCATTAGATGGTAATTTTGTTATTAGGTAAAAAATAAAACACAACCAAATAGGTGTGTTATTCTGTGTCAATATGTAATTTATTTATTTTACTTCGACGATCTTCTGTAAAAATACAAGATAAAATAATATTTACCGGTAAATTTATTTTAAGTTATTTTATTTTTTATTTTGAAGTAATCTTTTAATTGTTAGTGTACAGAAGTCTCGATGTATCTTGTAGCCAATTTTAAATTTAAAATCAAATTGTAAAAATTTTTTTATTATATAATTTTTGATCTTGAAATTATTTATCGAGACTATATATTTTTTATTAAATTATCTTAACTTGATTGAAAAATTGCTGTCTCCGCTTCATGATTCAATTATTTGTCAATAAATTGGTCCTGACCAATTTTTTCAAAAGGAAATTGGAGTTTAGTGTGAAAGCTCTTGAACATCGAAAAAAAAAAAGAAAGAAAATTGGTTTGCATCAAGAAATTTTTTTTAAAACTTTTTTATTATTCCGGAGTATTTTTTTTTTAAAAAAGAGAATTGAACTTTTGAATTAACTAACTTTTAGAATTTTGTAATTTAAAATAACAATACTCACTCTTGAAGTTGAGATTGAGGTTCTGATGATGACTTAACATTACCTTGGAAAATTAATTAACTAATCCACACTTTTGGAACCCATATAATATGTCTCTTATTATCAGGAATAA